TGTTCACTCAGCATTCACCAAGAATATCTGCCAACGCAACTAAAGTATCGGTTCGGTCGATATCAAGAGTATTAGTGGAATTTTGAAACAAGAGTAATGGAATTCTCGGATAACAATAAACACGATAAATTACTAGTAGCGGTTCGTTCGAAATTGCAGGCTGTTTAACGGCCGCTGATCAAAGCGCAAAAGTTTTCTTTCAATGGCGCTCACTTCGCAGAAAGTTTCTATTCCCTTTCGCCCGAGGTATCCATCCGTCTGGTCCGGCGGTATTTAAACAGGATACTGATTGTGTTTCCAATTGAAGATCAAGGGAATATAAACTAACTTCATCGATGTTTGAGCAGCCCAACTAAACGAATCCCTGTACACAGGTCATTTGGCAAACGGTTACACAGAGATTTTGTGTTTCGTTAGTTGCTATTCATAATCCGTTTTGCGTGAAATCAATGGAAACTCGCGATGCCGGCAACGGTAAAGGCAAACAGAATTCAAGGCAACTCTGTTAATACCTGCGGATATACTACGGAAGAACAGACTTTATTCCGTTACTATAGCGGGCTATAAACGTGAAATTTCAAAGTATTATAAATTAAAACGTTGTTCCGCTTTCGATAGCCATGGACAGTGCGTTCGATGGGCAAACAAATCTTAGGGTAAAATAATACTCGCGTTACGCATAATCTTCTCTAACGTTTAATTACAACGAAATACACTCCTTGCTGCCAAAAACATCACCGTAGCGTTTGGCGAATATAAACATACAAACTGTCTAACAATAGTTTGAGAAGTTTCGTTTCGCTATAGACTAGCAAAGGACACGGTTGCGGTGTTAACAAAGAGGGATCGAGAGTTATCGTAAAAGCTAATGCTTGGACCACTGTTCGACATTTACAATAGAGACATAGGCGTACGCATCGCAATCGTCTTTCAAGATTTTTAGACGATGGGGAACGAGCGGGAACTTGACAAGTGGGTGCAGCACGAACTGAAAGCCTCGTTCAAGTTCGGAATCTACAGAGAGTCTTTCTTTCAACGAGTTGTTACCTTTGAGAAACAGTGAACCGGGTTTAACATTGCAGAATGTTCCGACTAGCAATCAAATATGTTTCTCTTACGCAATCCGTACTGTTCATTTTAAGACCAATAATTTCATAGAAAGCGGTGCATTTATTCGGTGCGAGAGACGCGGTCATACGCGAGAAAGACGTCGAAAATATCCGCGTTCGCGCAACCGGTGTTGCGTAGTCGGAGGTCTAGAAATGTTCCATTAATCTTCCACTTTCCACGGGGCAACGTGTCGGTAACGTCGAAAAGAAGAGCCAGACGAAAGAGAATCCCGCCGTAGGTGGGAGACGGAGATTGCACCGTTAAAGGTGGTTGATTTTAATTTCACGGGGCGCGAGTCTTCGGTTACGGCTGCGAACACGACCGTCTAAGCGTCTGGCTTCGTGCTACGTTATATGGTACACGCGCACGAGTGTGCGCGTGGTAAGCCTGGCCTGCGAACGTGTGCGTACACGAAGAATATGTGTGGCAGCAGGCACACCCACGCCTACCATCTGCATGATGCACGAATGTGTTCGGTCCGTGAAGCGTCGCTCGCACGGCGCACAACAGCCCTTCCATGGCATCGATCCTGCATAATGGGCCATTATGTTGCCTGATTTGCACATTATCCGACGACTCGCGCGACGTATAAGCCGCGAACGTCGGGGCATTACCGATTCTAGCCCCCCCGGCAACGATTGTATCGAGGCTGTAGTAAACCGACTGATCGAACGAGAAAAATGTCGAACGACACGTTACGCGACACGGCACACTTACGGATTTCAACTCTGAACAAAATGTCCCTGAACCGAGTAATCCGAACACGCCGATGCGTTTCAAGAGTAGACGCGGAAGAAAAAACTACCGATGGACGCGCGACGTATCGCCGAGAGAAAGAAAGATCAGTTCTCGAAGTAGATACGGAGGATCGTACCGTGTCAGACGCTTTAATCAGACACCGCAAGACCTGCCGCCGATACTGTAACACAGCCTGTTTCGTTGGTTGCTACACTTTTTACCATTTTTTTGAAAACTCTCCCGATTCCTGCGTGAAATTTTCTTGCGGGAAAAACTACGAGGTCTGTAACAAAGTTTGTTAAACTCCGCAACTCGGATGTCCAACGTGGCTAGCAGCTGAATTCGAATTTGTACAGAGTTCCGACTAGCATAGAGATTGGTATAGATCCGGAATGAGCTGCAACTGCAATATTGCATTCGGATTGAAAGGTTTTGGACTAGGAGCAGGGGTAATAACTTGGGGCAAAGTTTGGGAAGGTTTCGATGGAAGACGCCGGAGACCAAGATGACGCGGGATGCGGATGACTCGATGTTTACAACGAGTACGGGTCACCCGGAATCCGAACGATAGAGCGTACAAGAGGAACTATGCATTAGAAGTAATTGACCGTGCTTTGCATTCATAGTTCCGGCAGGGTATTAATCAACAACGAATGAATGGCAACGAAGCCTATTGGAGCTAAACAAGCTATGCACAGTTTAACCGAAGTCACGGCCCTATCGTGAAAGATGACACAATCGTCGTTCTTCTACCATTCAGTTTTTGAAAGAGTTCCACGTCCACGGGAGCGCGTACGCTACTCTGTTTTCTGTTTTACGCGCGAACGACGCGTGATGTACGCGCGTCGAATATACCCATAAAGCTGCGAAAACTGCACGAAATTGTATCGTGTCGTGAATCTCCGTAAATTTTACATACGCGACACGGATGATTCATGATTCCAGGTGGCTCAGCAAATCACGCTGTGTCTCCCTCGCCTGTCTTTTTCTCTCTCCGTTATAAACGAGTCTCTCTGGCGGTCTTGCTCCCTCGTTGGCGTGCCTCGTCCTCCTTCAACGAGGACACAGTCAGTGAATGCACGCATCGTGTACGGTGTATTATCTATAGGGCAACCGCTACAAACGGTGTGGGGTCGGAACAGAGACAGCTAATTATTTAGACACGCTTGGACGCCACCCCATCGATCACTCCTTCGGAGTTCCTCTCTCCCTCTTTCGCTTTGCTCGCCCTCTAACTCGCTTGTTGTATCTCCGTCGCGCTAGCTTCCTTCCTCTTGCCCAACCTTCTGCTCTTTCTATGGACGGTTACGTACAGAAGGTAACGCGAGCGAGTTAAGCGCGCGCGAGCGCGTAACTGGAAGCACTTTCCACTCGGTTCTCGCGAAAGAGGCACTGGCGCGTTATCCTGCAACCAAAGGATTGGGAATGGGGTCTTTCGAGGTGTTAGGTACGACCTTTTATCGTGTTTCGCCAATTATTTGTGCATTTGGTTAGCAAGCTACGCTATATTCGACGTCGTTTTCATTTTACATTTTATTCGACTACCCTTACCTATCCTTAACGAGAGCCGGCGGTCTCGATTTTCGCGCACGTGGACAACGCTCATGCCAAAACTATCGTTTCGCTTGAGCACGTCGCGGGTGGGAATAACTTCCGGGCATATTTACTCGAATGCTCGGTATACTGCTACCACGGTGTGTCCTGCGCGATATTGCCTCGTGAGAGCATGTTGCTATGCGTACGCGTGTGAATTACGAGCGGGCTAATGTATGAGCGCGTCGTAGAATGAAAACTCGAGTAAAATACAACGCTCCGCCTGCGTCGGCTGATAAATCGTGTCGCGAGATCTCGATATTAAGTTGCAAGTGTCAGGTTTCGGCTCTTGTATACTGCGACACTTAACCCTATGTTTCGCGAATCATGACCAGGAATTAATTTTTTAAACGAATGGAAATTCGGATCGTCGACACGTACCGAACGTTTCAACGGAGAATTCCGCGTTGGACGCAATCGTGGGCGCCGAAACAAATATCTGCTCCCAAATTCCTCGAGAAAGGAGCGTCTCCAGGTTCGGCCATGCCACGAAAAACACTTTCCCGGGAATTACGGGGGGAACGAACGGGCGTAAAACGTGGAATCTTTCGCGCACGATCCGAACGGAACGTAACGCGCGACGCGTTACCGCGTTTTCGGCTCTCGGTTCGCATGAAAATACACGCGAACGCGAATAGTTATTTACCGGAGCTCGTATACGCGACGGTTATGTCGTACGTGAGCCGCATTTAATGCCGCACCGACCAATAGTTTGTAAGTGTTTTACCGTGTAGTTTTACGACAGTAGCTCCCGCGTATTTCGAGCCTCCCCTAAAAAACATTTGGAGACGGCACGCGTGGGTGCGTGCTCGTGCTCGTGCTCGCGCTCGTGCTTGTGGTCGTGCTCGTGTGCCCCTGACAATTTTCACGGGAATATTCTCAGCCCGATAGGAACCCATTCTAAGCGTCCGTTCTCTCATTCTCTTGCTCGATCTCTGTCCTTTCTCGTCTTTATACTCTTTTTCGGTTCGATCACTCTTCTTCGGCTTCCTTGAGCAAGATTTCTCAAGCTTCCTACTCTTTCACGGTCCATTAGCCGGCTCGTTTTTCGACACACGCGTTGAATTCTTCAAAGTTCGTCCTATTATTTTGCCTCGACGAAACGCGATGCCCTTTCCGTTGGCTAATTCGGATCGCTTCCGATCAATTGCTCGCTCTAATTTTCTTAATCGCGAATAGTCCTTTTCCGGATCAGTGGTGGTGTTTTCAGGTAACAGTTCGCAATAAACGATTCGGTTTCGGGTTGGGTTTGACGCGGTTCGGAGTCCTCGCAAGCCCATCGCCGAAGGCTGTTCGCGAAACCAGGACACAAGCCGAATCTTTCAAAGTGAAAGTGTGAACAGCCCTGACCCGTGCTGCAAAATACTTCCTCAACTATACGTTACAACGTTTCTTGGCATACAGATATACGCATGACCCGTGGCGAGCCTTCGAGCAACTTCTCCGTTAAGGGAGAACACCACTTTTCGAGTCGAAAGGACGCTGATATTTGGACATTTTTCCTTACGATATCAAACGTTTAAAATAAATGTACGCGTAGGATAAAAGTAGGTACTTTGGACCGCTCGGAGAAGCTTCGAAGTCGACACCCTTTTCATTACACGCGATTCTTCGCGACCTGCATGCCCAAGACGTAACGTTTCGCCTCTACTTGGACGATTCTCCGCATGTACGGATGCGCGAAGTAAAAGCTCGATATGCACTCAGCTAAAAATTTGCAAGATTCGACCGAACTAAGGAAAGAGGGCGAAGGTTTCCCGGGAAAAGGTGGCACCTCCGCTGTACTCTCGGGAAGAAAATTAAATTTAAATACGGAAGAACATGTGCAACTACGCGACACTGGCGCCTTGAATACGCGAAATGGTAAAAGCCTGGATGTAAAATAGATCACGATCGAAGCGATCGAGAAAATGTGTTACTCGACTCGACGAGCGAAAGGAAGAAAAGTGAAACACGGTTTTATTTCTTGAGAATGGCAGCATAACTTGGAACCATACATACGTTTCCAAACTCGTATTTACTAATTGAAGAATTTAGTTATTTAAAAACTTTGCTAGTCCGTAATAGACTACAAAATCAAAATTGAAATTCTCTTTTTGCCGAAAGGATTAGCCAAAATGACGATAAACGAATCGGTCTGACAGCCTATGATATCGTTCGTTTGTCGGATATCCAGTTTCGTATTCACGAGTGATCTCGCGATACTCTGTATTTCGGTATCCATCCGCGAACGAAGGTGATTTCTGGTCAAATAGACGCGAACATGTAATCAATGGCGATGCTCGTGGCCTCTTCAAAGCACGCCTCTATTCTGTATCCTTTGACACCGATCCTTCTGATGCGGTCTCCATCGTTAGAATTTATAATTTTGTGAACAGCGAATGTTCGCATAGGTTCCATGCTAGATGGGCAACCCTTACACGTTTGGTTTCGCGCAGAGTCGAGAACTGTTTCCAGTATCGGCCGGTTTTGGGGATTTTGTCCCGGTGGCGTGCAACGCTAGAAAGTAAAGCGTATCTCGGGGGACAGAAACGAAAGAGTCGATACGTGTGCGCACACGTATCGGGTGGAATCGCTCAGTTTCGCACTCGCACACAGCTCTGCAGAGCACATTCGACACAGTCGTGGCACGCGAAGGCTGGGTGGCTGTGCCACGGCGGAACACAATATTGCGGATCAATAAACCTCAATAAAGTCAATTTCTGTCGCAAAGCATCTGAATACGGGAATTTTGTATTCCGTCGGCTAGGCAGCCGGCTGGGCAGGGATCGTGTCCCGAATACAGATTAAGTATATTTTATACCGTATCTCGCCGAACTCGCGCGTACGTTTCTCTCTTGCTCGCGTTTCCCATCCACCTACGCTTCCACCTTCAACCTCCTACCCACTTTTTCGCCCTTCGCGTGCGTTGGCTTCTTCTTCCTCCTTCCACGCTGGGAAAATAACAAAAGAGGGTCTCCGAGGGAAGAGAAGTATTCGCGGCTTCTCCAGAAATGCACGCGTCGCGTCGCACACACGCGCGTTTCGCTCGTCCTCGTCTCCTCGTATAATTTGTTTCGAGCGACTTCGCGACTTTAAAGGCTCCCGAAGCCGCCCCCGCCGGAATTTCGTTGGCTCGACATATTTTCGCCGGGAATACCAATATCTTCTGCTCTCTACTTCGCGCGTCGTGTCCTCGGGAAAGATGGATTAGAGGACGCCCCTCCTGTGAAAGCGTAACGAGCTCGGCGATCCGACAGTCTTACCAAACAGCTCGTTTATTAGGCGTACGAATAAGTAAGCCGCTATTTGTCCATAGTTGCGCGAAAGGCTAATTTAAATTCCAAATGTTTTCTCGCGATTTTCCGTCGCGACGACGGTAACACGACTTTGCTAAACGTTAATGCGTGTCGCGAATATCGATCTCCGATAAAACACACCGTGCGATTCAATTAAATATTTTTTTTTTTTTTTTTTTTATTGCAATTTGTTTGATTGGAATTTGCAGTCACGACAGCGTACATCGGAGTTTGCGGCAAATTTTGACCCAGATTTTGTTATTAACGCCGACCAAATCGAATTCGAGTACTCGGTAAAATTAGTCTAAATATTATTTTAGATCCTGGCAAATCTATTTCTTTTCAATCGCTAACGCTTCCCTTCGAGCGATTCACAATCATCGATAACACGACGTACAAGCTACGGTAATTTAGGTATATTTCGCGTAACAGGCCGAGGAACATCCGTGTGCAGCGGATCAAACGGTCCGGTGTATTCCACCGGGAACCAAGACCAGTTTCCGAATACATTAATTTGCATTCAACAGGAACGAATTAGCATCGAGAGGATCAAAATCTTGAAGACGACGAATCGAGCACGTCTAGAAACCCTGAAGCGTGGAAACGGTATCCGAGCTCAGGGGCGATAAGAAACATAGAAACACGGTAGCTAGACAATCGATAGAGCTGGCCGTAACCAAAATGATATGCCCGAGGAAAAAAATAGTTTAATCGCTGTCGGAACAATGAGGCCGAGAACAAAGAAAACCGTCGTGCTTAGAACAACGCCAACTTGCACAGCCTCCGGTACGCGGTTCCTGTCGGAGCGAACAGGTTTCAGTTCTCACAGTGACGTGACCACGATGCCCAGAATTTCACGGTGATCGAGCCTCGGGTTCGCAGAGTAATCGAACGTTGTAGCGGACGATACAAGACCCACGAACACGGCTATCATGCGTTCTAAGATAATCGATCGTTATTAGACCGTCGCGTCCGTCTGGTGGATCAGGAAAGTGTAAAGTAAAGGAAAGTAAAAAAGGAAATCGAGTTACACGATTGGCTCCTCGTTGCGAAACGCGAAAATTCTAAAAACCATCCTGGAAATAAAGCGATTCCAAAGCGGCCAGGCGCGATCAAATATTGACGCGGCCAGCCATAAATGCGATTTTCGGCTGACTGTTATAAACGTCAAATTATCGGCCTCGAACGGATGTACCAATAATAATATCGAATAAATTCCGTGCCGCTACGCGGACATTTTCATTAATGCGATTATCGAACGGATTCGAGGTCGCAGAGGCGGAGACGAGTCGGCGACGCTGGTCGTGCGGCATAATTCATTTCCCTTGGCGGCGGTGAGAGCGTCGAGGGTTTTTGGCGCGACGAGCTCGAACCGCGGGGACGCGAACTTCCCCAGTCCCGATAATAAGAAGAAAGTCGAGCTTACTGGAACGAAACCAAGTGGCACATTCTCGCTGGTGGCGAGGGGACCACCAAGTAATTATCCACTTCGAAAACTCGGCGCCGTCGTACCGTGTCCGAGACTAGCTTCAACTTCTAGACACGAATGACAAAATGCCCTGTCGGAATTTGCGAACGATACGCGAACGGAACGATCCTGCGCAGGGTTTCTCAAACTTTTCGGGCCGTTGTGCATTCGCCTCGAGACGCCCAACTCCCCAGACGACTTACGCGCCAAAGAGAAAGTGTAAAAAAACTCTCGCGAAGAATGAGAAATAGTACATATTTGCAACAGTGTTCGGTTGACAGTAATATATGCAGTCGGTAAGCCACGAGAGACTGATTAATGTTTCGTAGTCGGGTTTACGTTCTCGTTTTATACAACTATTTAACACTTTCATTGTGTTCGTATCCCCTTGCAACATTAACGATACAACCGGTGTGACAGTGGTTGATTTCGTTTTTGTATTCAACTTTCTCGAACGCGAAGCATCGGTAGATTCTTATTAATCTTCGCTGTATAGTTCGCGATGGCTCGTCTATTATCTCGTTCGTCCAAGAGTCGTATCGTTTGCGTCTTACTTCGTTTTGATTTTGCATTTCACGCTGATAATTCAAAGCTTGTTCCTATTAATTCACCCTTCGAGTTTCGTCATTCGCCGCAGATCCTGTTCCCATTTCGTTGCTTATTATTACACTGCTTGTTCTGCTTTTCCCAGTCTCGTATACGCGTAATCAAATTTTACGAATACTCTGACGTTTCTTATTTGTTATGACTTCCACGTACGATTCGATACAAGACACCGTCTTGGCGCGCCAATTTTATTATTGTTATAACGTTCAAGTTCGCGGCAACGTCTTCGCTGATTCTGGTCCGTAGTCTGCAACTCAATCTCATTTTCCTCTCTTCCTTTTTGCTCGGGCACGTTGCAATTTTACGCGCAACAAAGGCGTTCAACAAACAAACACTATTTCCTACCTTGCCACGTTCAACTTTTCGTTTCTTTTGGAGTTACTTCGCTTTACCTTGGTAACAACGTAAAGAATTTATGTGAACCCTAGCAGAAGCCATTATGTAAGATAGAATTTGACATTATACGAAAAAAAAGACGCGGGAAGAAAGGCAAGAGAAAAGACCATTCTCTGTAGTAGATTCGACGCGTGTCGTCTGAAATTTTTGTTTAATCCAACCCAACGTTACTCTACCTCTAATGTAATCTACAGTACCTTCTGGCTCACCGTCTACATCTGAGATCGCGTTTTACAAGTTCCTTTGTAGTATGGCATTCCAATCGCTTCTCTCGACAGTTGAAATTACGGTTAACAAACAAAGCACGCTCGCAGTTTCGCCGCAATTTCAAGCTCGCGCGGACGATCGAATTATCAACGCAAATGCCTCTCTATTACGTCGCGCTACGTATCTGATCGTCCATTGCGGGCCCGAGAGGGTGCAAATTTTAGTGCGAATGCCTGAAGCCGCCCAGCCCGGAAACACGACTAAGGGACCATGAAAAAGGTATAACCCCTTTTTTCCACCCGTATTTCGTCGCTTTACGCCTCCGTGGGATTACTCCCGGCCCTTTCGAGATCCCCTTCACGGTGCCATACGAGCGCCGACAAAACTCCAGAGCAGCTAAAGTATCACGACGCGAGCGCGTGCGACTTACGAGACGACACCGAACGCTCGTAAAAGCCACGAGAACCCGCTTGTAGTCCGCTCGTAGCGACCTTGTACCTGGCCTCCGATGTACCATGTACCAGAACAGAGCTACGGCCAATGAAAATATTTTCATGGTCACCGTATTTAACGGTCAACCTAACGATTAGTTTCTCCAAAGGTTACTACTTAACGCCAAATGGCTTACTATACTCGAGCTCGAAGTTACTTTGCAGCGTAAAGTGTGTAACTAACTTGTATCGACTCGATTACCTGCACGAACAATCACCCTTCAGGTTCCTCGGATCGTAAATGAATTCAAAAATCACAGCGAGTACTCCGACAATGCTTACCTGAAACAAAAAAAAAAAGATTTACATGAGCAAATAAATCAAATCAAATAAAGACATGGCGATCAGGATAATTGCTAGTTTGACCCGTATCGTGCATCGTACATTGCAACACGACGATGACTCTATTCGGAGTGCGCTGTTTGCCGATGAGGCAACTTTCACGAATCACGGAAATGTAAATACAGAAACGAATCATGCGCTACTGGTTTGCTGAAAATCCCCATTGGCTCCAACGAGTCGAGTATCAGAGCCAGGTAAGCGTAAATGTCAGATGCGGTAAACGTATCTTGCACATGTCTCGTGTATATCTTTGTATTTACATTTTTCGTTTCGTTTATATTTTAAACGAACTCGTCGATTAAGCTACAATTCTATAATTAAAAGTGTATTTCACTCGGTGCGTAGCGCCAAGCTTGCTTGGTCCGTCTATTGCCTGTCCCCAGCGATGGTGCGCTTTTTCAGCGGAAGGCGATTCGACGATAATGACGACGTGAAACGTGGCTGTGGAAAGTTTTTTGCATCCAAAGAACCAGCATGGTACCGCGGAGGAATGCAATTGCTTTCGGTATGATGGCGGAAGACCGTAGATCGTCATGCTTGATATTACGCTTTATCGTAGTCGCGCGTCGATAAATTAACGTTTCGAAATGTCCAAATTGTTCCAATGGTAAATATCGTTTGATCGTGGGAAAACTGACGCAGGTTCTACCGAATCTTACACGAGAGACCTTGCATCGGTTTCTCGCTTATGGGGCTAAAAACAAAGGTGAAAATGCTTCCGTAACGAACGCGAATTACGGCTGAATTTCTTCGCGCTTGTCGCGTCATTCTCAGCGGTGAAGCTGGATGTTCCTTTTATAAACAGACAGCCGACAAGAAGAAAATTGCAGACGCGCGAAATATCCTTTCTACCGAGGCCGAGGCCCTCGCTGCTCCCTTAATTCCCAATATTTTTTCGAGACACACCCTTCAGCTCGGGCTCAACTTGTTGCGCTTTACGAGCACGTCACCGCCCGCTGAAATTCCTATTTGTTCCGGCAGACGCGGGGAGAATGGCTAGGAACGAACTCGGCGAAGATGGAGAAAAAATAAGAAACGGAAAGGGTGAGGACTGAGCGGGCTCGAGCCGTGAAACGGATGGACGAGGGGTGACAGAAGAAAGGCCGTAAAAGAAATGTGTATATGCAAAATGGAAGGTAAAAAGAACGAATGCACGAGGAGGCACGCCCGAACGTAGACTCGAGCACATCCCATTGGACATCCGCGATAAGTTCCGGGTGACCTTGCCGTGGAAATCCAGTCTCGAGGGTGAATCTAGCGCTACCGACGCGTAAGGAAGAAGAGAAATAATAAGGGCGGGACCGCGAGGGAAAAGAGCGCTAACAAGAGAAAAAGCAAAGAGCGACGGGGTGAAGAACGGGTCGGGGGACGGTCCGAGGAATAGAGGCCTCGAAGAATGGCAGCTGGAAAGAGAGAAAGGCAAACGGAGATCTATTTAGTACGAAGTGTAAGAAACAAATTGCAGGAAAAGGGTGAGGGAAGCAAGGCTGGCGAACGGTAGGGAAGTTTAATGACAGAGAATTGCAAGTAATGGAGGGTAACGCGCCCTATTTAACGCCTCCGCCTCACCTTATCCTATCACACGAAATAACCTCTGCATCCCTGTTAATATTTTCTTATCGTCGGAGCGAGCGCGGAGCCAGCCCGCGCGCCTGCCTTACGTGCATTACACTTCGACCCGACATAATCTTCAGCCTGCTCGTCCGACCGAATTATTACACTTCCAGGGCAAAATTTGGGCGTACTTCGGGATAACGTTTGTCCCTTCAGGCTTAGACGCGTTTCGGAGAAACTCCCGTTAACCTGACAACATTTTCAAGTGTATACATCGTGGTCGAGCTGGTGTACAATTTCCTTAAAGAGAACAACGAGTCCTACAGATTTTCTTGTCGTAGCTGCTCCGAATCGCAACACCGCGTAAATACCCAGACCGCCATTGGGTACAGAGTCGACAGGCAAATCAGCCGGGAATACTGGTCGTCAGGGATGATCTGGTACGGCGAGCGAAAGATCGCGCCGACGGATCGTGTATCGATCGCCCAAAGGCTTCGGGAACCCGAAGTGCTTCTCGGCGAATCAAGATATCGCGCCTCCTTTACGAGGCATCCGGTGAAAATCGTTGCGAAAGACTGAAATCACATTAAGCGAGCAACGTAACGAAGGTGAATGCAAACTGGCCACGAAAGGAGCGGACGAGCACATAAAGGGAAAGGGAGTCAGAGACGGGAAGAGAAAGAGGCCAAAAGATAAAAAGAAGAAGGGTGGAGAGTGGGGGTGGACAAGAGAAAAAAGACTCGGGGCTTCGACGTCGAGACTCGACGCGTATACGAGTCAAGGCGAAACGAGGTCTGGTTTCGCGAACCTTACGTAAACCTGGTCTCCACCGTTCGAGCTGTCCCTCGTTATCCTTCTTCCTTCCTCTAGCGAAATATGGTATTACGCTGTGAGCGCGTAAAACGCTTTTAATTTCGTGTTTTTTTCTTCGACGCGGTTTCCCGGCAGTGACCGTTTACACCGCGGACTCGCCGAGGCTTTTCGCGTTAACCAGTTTATATCTACCCGCAACGATCTTTATTACGACGAGTTAGCTATCCTCTCCAGAAAACGAGCGGCCTCCAACTCTTAACTGTATTCTACGAACAATCGTCGTCGGTAGCGGCACGCGGGTCGAGAGGTGATGCCAACAGTTTTTCCCTTCATCTGACCACAACGGGGAAGGAGGAGAACGCCGTTGAAAATATTCGATTTCCGCAAGAAGGAGGCAAGCGTTCTCTTCGAAAGTAGGCGAGCCTCTTAAAGCGTTCGGCACGTAGTATCGGAGCATCGAAGAGGGGCGGAACGATCCTCAACTTTGCACGGCCCTGATCGAACTTTCCAGAATCTCCGCCGACCCCTGCCTGCCTTTATTCTCATCATATTCCGACGGCCATTCTCGCCCTTATCTCGTGTTTTTCGTTTTGCCTCGGTTCACGAGTTGCGGGACAATTTGCCGAGCGAAGCTGTTGAATGTTAAAAACCTGGCAAGCTGTGTGCCAATAACTCTTCGACGCTCTTTTGTTAGCTGGAAAAGAATCCAACGCCGTTTGGAGACAAGTGAAGTAGCATGTGTTTGATAAAAAATATGTCACAGAAAAGTTGCGATTGGTTTGCAGGAAACTGGGAATGAACTACTCGTCGCCGAGTAATTTGTTTGCAGCTCGCATCTAAGCGTGGGCACAAAGGGGTTAATTTAAAAAGATACCATTCGTTTTTGCAACAAAATTATCTGCGGCGATACCCGCGTTCGAGTTGCTCGGAGAAAAAGTAGTCCACTTGGATGAACGAAGAAGCTATAATATACGGAGGTGTTCGTGGCGGAGGCGGAGAACCGCTGCCGGAGGAACGAAGCCACAATGCCAACCGATTGATTTACGTTGCTCGTTACGCGGTCCACTGCTCCGAAAAGAGAAAAATAAATTGATAGAGGGCCCGTGTAGTGGGAGAAGAGGAGAAGCGGAAGAAAGATAAGGGAAGGGAGCCTGGAGAACGAAACGACGAAGGGAGAGCCGATCCTCGCGAAGGAGAACAGGATCTCGTCGTGAATGAGCGTGCGGGAAAGAGAAAGGAAGGGAAGATGGCAAAGGACCGCCGCTGCCGCCGCCGCCGCCACCATGTGATGAGAAATGCAAAGCGAAGCGGGCTGGATTTTGTCAAAGAAATACCGAGTTCGTTCGATCACGTCCGCCCCACTAATCGCGACTTTTGTTAAGATCAATGATCGCGTTTTTCTTCATTTCCGCCAGCCCCAAACTTATCCAATAAAGTTGTCGATTTCGTCTTCGGATTCCGATTCGGCACCCCCTGGCTACGTGACTTCGCCGCGAAACAAATTTCCCAGCTGCTAGCTCTGCACCCCTGAACATATACTAATTTGGCAATGGACGCGGACAGTTTTATCCTCGGTGTTGGTTTGCATCTGACATTTTGCGCTGGGTCGAGTCAGAAATAATGTCCGTTTCGAATGGTACGTCTTTGACAAGATCTGGCTCATAGGATATCCACGCGAACTTAAAAATTTACTAGCTGGACCTTGTTTGACCTTAGCAAGAATCTAGGATTTTAGGTTAAGTTTAGAGTGGGCACGTGTTGTGTCGCATTAATATGGTATAATAAAGGCGCTGCTAATTAATCAATTCTAACGAGCGGGAGGCGTATTGTGCAAGCATGTAAATCAAGGGCAGCAACGAGGAGTAAAGAGATATGACGCTACGAGCACTAGCCAGAAATGAAACGAAATAGATGACAAATAAAATCGGCGTATATCGATTTATTCGTGACGTGTATTTGGTCGAACAATTAAACTTGGATCCGTTCGTTGATGAATATTTAATTCCATAATTTAAACTCGATATCTATTCGACGAGGAATGAACAAAGACCCATTCATTTTTCATTCGCTAATCAAATTTTTATCCAGACAAGGATTCTGTGGATTCGCGATGGTAAAACTTGCTTTTATTCGAATAAAATTTCCACGCGAACCATTATTATAATTTACTGCAACGAGTATCATATTCAAAGAAGCAATCCGATACATTGATGGAAGCGTTCTACTTTTAGCAATTTGTTATTTGACAAAATAAGTGCACTGTCAGCGTGTAAGAATACGTTGAATTACCTTCATAGACGGGTTCTAATAAGCATGGCATTGAGGCGTAACAGCAGCTCGCTCGGGGAACCGAACAAGAGCTTCTTTGTCGAGTGCGCGCGTACCCAACGGATTTTCAACACCGATAGTCGCGAGAAGGAAGCTTCGTACGAACAAAATTCTTCTCCAGGTTTCAATTTCAACACCGAGGATAAATATTAATAAATAGCGATTAATTTCGAGAATAGAAAAACAAAAATTTTCAGCGAAAACGGATCACGAATGTCCTCTTCGTTGGTCTCTCATACGGCCAC